TGAGCTCACAACATTCGTTGTGTCATGGAGTCAAATGCATCTGTCATTGGCAAGAGCTTTGAACACCATATAGGTGGCAGCCCCTAATTTTGATCCTCAAACAGAGATAGTGGTTAGTGACTCTGACTGTCTTACCAAAGGGCCCAGAGTTATTTATAAATATATAGTGTCTGTGTGCCATGGAGACACTCTAACTGTCAAGAGGTTGGTGATAGGCGAAAAGGGGTGGAAGAGCCGGGAACCCATTCCTCCGGAGTGCTCTTTAAATGCTACACATAGATTCTTTTAAAAAATTACTTGTATTTATTAAGACTGTAAAAAAAATTTTATTTTTTTCATACTTGCATATGAAACTAATTGCAAATTTGTGTATATTTGAAGCATCAGATCTGCTTTCTTACCATAGCTAATTTTACTACTTTCTTAGGAAACATATTACAAGGTTTGTATAGTCCGTAAAAGTCCTTGAGTTTTTTGGAAACGATTTTTGTCTTTAAAAGTCTTCAATTTTGGCCATAATCGGCAGAAGGTCCTTAATTTTAATCATCTAAAATTTCTGTGTGTTTTCATGACTGCCATTTTCAGCGGGAATTAGTATTTTGGAGGAATATTTTTGGCAATTCACTGACAAATATCGTTATCTGTTGAATGGGTGAATGCGTTCATGGGTTATAATTTGTTGCTGTTTTTAATATAAATGGTGGGATAGAGTTTCTGAGCAAGAAGTGAAACATAAGCATTTCGAAATTATTTAACTTTTTCTAATGAAGAACTCTTAAACAACTTTTCTTTTTTGGGGGATAAAAATTCTTTTATTAAACCCTTCTAAATTTGCTGACTTATCAATATTTTGGTGATTTTAAGTTCCATTTTGGCCACTTATTATACAATATTTTGAATCTGAAAAATAAACAAGGTATAATGCTATAAAGCAAAGTTTACGAAACAGTTCTTGGCAAAATCAAAATGGCTATGCAATTAATTAAAAATGTATCTAATTTTTTTCATGGAAAAAGGTTTCCCATGTAATTGTCTCAGAATATACATCAGTTTTCTCTATAAAATTAATTTTACTCTTTTTCCCCTCTGATTTTGTTTTTCAAAATATTTCTGGCTTTTTTCTCCACTAGTTCATATTTTTGGTTTGAATTTGACTCTTCTTGTTTAATTACATCACCACAAACTATAATTGAGTTTTTTAGCATAAGAACATGCCTTTATGTTCTAAGTTCTTTTTAAATAAGAAGCTCATTTAAACCTTTGTAGTTAGTTACTTTCATACATAGCGATAATTTGCTTTACATCTGTCGGGGGGGGTGGACTATTTAACTTTTACCAGATCAAGTAAATCCTCATAGGTACATTGTGGAGAGGTTGACAGGTTAGGTGATAAAACACGCAGAAACTAGTGAGAACATTGTTTTGGATATTGAGAAGAATTTCTAACTGTTAGCAAAGATGCTTACAGAGACAGAAATCCAAATAAATTAGCCAAAATGTCTGGAGAGGCTTCAAATTAAAAAGATGCATAAATATTTTGTAGCTTTTAATATCGTTCAAGAATCAGTGTCATAAATTACCTGTATTTTTATTTATCATAAATTACATGTACAACTGTGAAATTTTATTAGATTGTGATTTTAATAGGTCTTTTTTAACAAATATTGTTAAAAAATAAATAGGATTTAATAGTGCCTATGTAAATCCATAATGATTAAGGTTATCTAATATCTAATTTAATTACTTATAACTAACTGCTTACCCTCTAAAAATTATCTTTGCATATTAAAGCAGGTTATTGCCTTTCATTAACCCTTACCGTGGTCACAAGATAAAACACAAAAATGAAAAATTCATGTAAAACTCATTACAGTACAAAGTCTCAGATCTGGACTCTCATCGGAACTTCCGTGATTCCGGATTTGGAATTTTTCAAGATGTTAGATCATCAGTTTAAATCTCATAAGATGGCATGTAGAAATAATAAAATTAAAAATATGAAATTGGGATTTATGAAATAATGAAGCATTTATGATCTAAAGGGTATCAAAATTTACAAAAAAAAAAAGCTTAATATTTATTTTTTTACTGTATTAAACATATCTTTCAAGTTGTTTAAAGTTGCTTCATTTTTTTGTGCTAATACTTTCTCTTTAATTCTCTAGACAGACATAATCTCTTGTTCAAAGTTCGACTGTTCAAGTCCTGTAATTGCTGTGTCAAGAATTCCGACTATCAATTTTTTTTTGTTTTCAGTAACGTCTCTGTCACTTTCTTCACTATCGGTAGCAGTATTTATGATTGAGAAGCATTGTCATCACAATGAAAAACTTTTTTTATATCATCTTCATTTATTACCACTTCTCCACGTTTCTTTAAAAAATCCAGTAATTGGAAAATTTCAACATTGGTTTGCGATACCTGAAAACCTTCATATTCGTGGCTATCGTCATAAAAGTTATGTGTCGTTCACTATAAATATTTGGCTATGTATTATGGGATTGGCGACTAACAACAAGTTGTTCCGCTAAATTTTATCTTGCTTCTGTTGCACACTGAGACAATTAAGCCTGAATTGTATTAGTTATTTATTACACTTACGCCCATTTCTTGCACATGTTTAATGCTTATTTGAGTCTTGAATAAATAAATTCCCACATATACTTAAGGCTTACTGAGGGCCGGCGCCTGATGTAGTCTGGATGGCTCATAAATTCAATTCTGCTACGAAGTGCTTCTCCTTGTCTAAGTTCTGATGCCATATGAACTCTGATGCTGATTCTGGATTTATGTGAATAACAAATCAGTTATTTTTAATTCAAATAGCACTAAATGTAATCTTTTTGCCTATGAGTATCATTAACAAAATCTTCTTTTAGCATATGGAAAGAAATTTCTGTTAAACTTTTCCTGTCAACATTTCTTAGTGCATTTAACTTAAATCTGTAATCATTGCTAAGCGTAATAAAAGTTACCATGCTGTTTCTCAATTACTAATATAAAAAAAATTTTTAGGTATCGCTCCATGAGCTCAAGTTGTCATGCATTGATAAACATTCAGTGATGAAAGCAAAATATAATATATTATGATTCGCCAGGTTGGAGCATCAGGGTATAAAATATTAGTAGGTTTAAAATCAACGATATATTTGAAAATATTCCTCTTTGGGATGTATAATGGGCAGCAGTGGAGCCAAATTACTGATCATTCAAATTTATGCTAAAATGATTGTTTCTTCAAAAGCACTGAAGGTTCTAATCAAATGCGCATGCGTACAGCACACACCAAAAAAAAAAATATAATAAAATTTTTTTAAAAAAAAAAAGAAGTTGGTAGTAGCCTTTGAGGGTCCGGATTTTAGATCATTTCGGATATTGGACGTCTGGATCTTGGACTTTGTACTGTATTCGTATCTAGTGAGACTTAAAATAATACAAAACAACTTACCACATCTGATGCTTTGGTGGTTTATTGGAACCGAACCTTAAAGTATATTAACTGTGTTACAACCCCTGGAACCCTACACGAAGCTGCAACACTAACTGTATCAGACAGAGCCCAACTAACATTCAAAACTTACCAACCATGCCTACTTCAGGCCATTCAGGTTTGTTCTGATCAGCAGGTGTCTGTCTAGGCAAGTAGGAGCGGTGACAACAACCAGTCTTTTATTTTGAATCATGCTGAGTATGATTTTACTTCTCATTTTAACCTATGCCACTTGACATAAAATGTACTTACTGTTTACTAAACCTCTAGACTGAGCAAGTATGTGATAAAATGAGACTTTAAAAAAAAAAAAAAATCAACATAAAGCTAACTGTTAGTAAAACCTAAATAAAATGTCACTTATCTTCTTTCAAATATGTCTAATTATTATAAGTGTAAAATATTTAATGCTACCTGATAAATTTCATACAGTTTAAGTTTATTCTCAAGCTTATTAATAATTATGTTAATTAAGTTTATGTTTAATAATAATGCAGCCTACTTACAGCTCTAATTTATTTTTAGGATGATATCACAAAAGTTAATTTCAGGCATAGATAATATTTTTAATTGAATTTATTCAGTTTCCTTCTCAGGTCCATAATTTTTTTGATTAATGGTCCTTAAAAGTACTTAATTTTCATGTGAAGAAATGTGTACGAACCCTGTATTAGAATTTATTTCTTAATCAGGCTATATATTTAGCTTTAATTTGTGTAATTAACAGTTAAATGAAATAAGATGTTAAAGGTGAACACTTTATGTTAAATAACAATTAAAATGTTTGTAATATTTCGGTTATTAGTTTTTTTGAATGAAATAAGTGTGCTTATGGTAATGGTACACCTCCAAAAAATTTTATGAATTAATTGGAGTTGGAGAAGTAAATTCCTCATGCATTAAAATTGTTTTCAGATATTTTGTGCATCCAGTTTCATATTTTTATGATTACTGAAGCAAATCTGTGATCAAACTGTTCCTTTAACTTTGTAATATAAAAGTTCTTAAACATGTAAATGCAAAAGAGATTTATTATATATCTAACTATATGTATTAAATATGAGTTTCAAGATGTTCTTTGACAGTTGTAACTGACTGCTTAAATGTTCTTGCGGTATGAAATTAGGTATAAATATATTACTAAAGATTAAAATTGAGAAGGGGAAAAAAATCTTAATTTTTTTACTTTTGTAATAAAAAATCTTCTCCTTTTTTTTTTTTTTTTTTTTTTTTTGTAAGATTTAAGGAATGATTCTAAATTTAAGCCGGTGGGAATAACGTTCTGTAAACTGCAAAAGAATGCCTTGACAAAATTTTTCCCGCCTCCTTCCTTTTTTAAAATTAAAGTAGTGTTTGCTAAACTAGTTTTAAAACTAAAGTAAGAATATTAGATTTTAACAGTAATGAATTCCCATTTTTCTCATTATGTTGCTAGTTTTTTGTATTGAAAATTGCTGCTGAAGAAAATAACGCTCTTAATGATATAAGTATTTTATGTTTGTTTTCATAGGTTGTAACCGCAACACCTAGTCTTCCAGGCATACAGCAGCAGCACACTGCCACTTTACGTGGTGAACCAGGTGTTGTATCTAGTTCTGTTAAAGCTCAAACAACAACATTGCCATCTACAACATTGACAACAAGTGGAGTTCTAAAAGGTGCACCTGCCGTGGTTGTGGGACAGCCACAGACTACAGCTATTCTCCAGCAAGTTGCTGCTTCATCACCCAACTTAACTACTCAGCAAGCTGTAACTCTTGCAGTTAGAACTGCAGCTTCACAAGGTCAGGGCCAACAACAGGTACAGATTCAAGTGCAACAATCACCTCATTCATCTTTAGTTTCTCCTCAATCACAAGTAGTTTCTGCTGCTATGCAGTCTTCTCAGAACAGAATGCAACAGTTATCACAAAATTCATCAACTATAAATATTGCTCAGCCAGTAGCAGTCCAGAATGCTGCTCAGGCATCAAATATTCTGTCATCTGGCACTCTGGTACAGCAGATGCCTGCTGATTCAACAATTCAGTCTCCAACTCATGTTGTTATGCATAGTGTGACGCCATCATCTAGCTCCAGTGTGCCAACTGCTCAGACCGCATCAACACCTGCACAGATGGTGCAGGCTGCTCTTCAGGCTGCTAGACAAGCAGCCCAGCAACAAGCTACCCAGCAACAGAAAGCTTCACCATATACAATGAGACTGCGAAATCCCCCAAAATAAAGCTATATAGATAATTAACATGTACTTTTTGTTTGAGATTCTGTTTTAAATTTGCTATTTGATATCAGAAAAATATAATTTGGAATATCAAAAGTCAATCCTGATTTGTTGACTGTTATGATGTGAGAGCTTGTGAAATATGATTTTGGCTGTGGACGGCAAATAATAATAACCGTATTGATCCTATTCAATTCAAAATATAAACACAAGCGCATAAATGTTTTGTTTACATATTTCAATAGTGTGGTTTATTTTCATTCATTAAATCTATTTATTTTGCCCTTTCATGATTCTGTTCCATTAAAAAAAAAAATTAGTTATCCATTTATATAAAATACAATTCATCCTCATAGAATGCTTAATAAATTCAATTTTTCTGAACTTTCATGTTCTCACCTTTTTCCAAGGAAAGGCTACTAATAACTGTATATATATGTATTGAATGTACCTTGGCATTTTGTATCATTTTTCATTCAGTTGCTGTAAAAAAAAATAAAATGTAAACATTAATGTTTGTTATGTTTTTATCATCATTCATACAAGAATTCTTCACCTCATGTACAGTTCAGTAAAAGTAAAATAAAATGCATTGTTGTTAATTGTTGTTTTATTTCATCTTTAAACATCCAAAAACTATTTAATCAATGAAAGAAATTTTGATATGCATTTTAATTTCCTGAATATGTACTTAAAAGATGGAGTATAACTGTATTAAGATAGTTAAGTTTTACACAGATATTTAAGCCATGGGAAAATTACTGTGTATTAGAAAATAACACAAATATTAAGAACTTTTAAAAATTACATTAAATATCCATACTTGGAAACTGTTGCATGGATGCAGCATAGTTTTATGGATAAGTAACTTACTAAAAATAGATAAAACATTAATTTATACAATTAAGAAGGAGGCTTGAATAATTGGAGATTCATGTAAAAATAAGTGTTATGATTAGCCCATAAGACTGTAATGCCATCAAGTTGTTGACGTTTATTTTCTTGCTGAAAAACATTATAGTGGAATTTTTGTAAATGGTGATCTTGACTATTCTATTTCACAGATGTACATGTACTGAAAACCATGTGAACCAGGTTTTCAGTAAACATGTATCTGTAAAGCGTATGGACTAAAATACATTTTATATAATTGTACGTATCGTATATATATATATATTATACTGCTAATGTGTTGAATGGTATTTATATAGATGTTAGTGTCAGCCTCATGCTAGAGCCTTACAGGATGGGGCTGGAGGCAAATTTTAAGAAAATAATTATCATAAAGTAAAAGGCTATTTTTTTAAGTAGGATTTTAATGCATATGATGTTACTCGAAAACCTGGGATGTAGAGTTTATCTATGAAATCATCCACCAGATACTATCAAAGGCTGATTGTATCAAAGAAGTAATATCTTTGAGCAGTAAGCAAGATGATGCACATTCATTAACTTGGTGGTATGCTTGGATCTGTTTTTGTAAATTATTTTTGAGCTGTGTCCTTAGCCTAGCATTATAGTTTCAAAAGTTAAAATTTAACGCAGCTGGCTATAGTAACTGCAGCATAAGGCTGCCAGAAGTTCTAACTCTAAAACATTCAAGTCCTCAGTATACAACTAATTTGTATTCTGGTGAGGACTAGGGAAAGAAGAAGTAAAATTCAAATCATAATAACTTATAATTAGCATAAAATTCGACAATTTGAAGCATAATTTTTTGCCTTGAGTATTTGTGCTACATTTTAAGCGTCTTATTCATTTTGCTCAAACATCAGTCAGATTTCTGTTGTAAATTTTCAGCCTATTATATCTCACAAAGTATCTAAATTGGTATTCTTTGTGTGAGAGGAGCATTGAAAAGGAATCTAGAAATTTAATGTTTCATAATGGATGCCTTGTATATGAGGGTCAGCCAAAAAGTTAGTTGCACTGCCTAAGAAAATTAAACAGGAGCAAAATTTTACAATAACTTTATTTACATCAAAGTTCCATTCAAAATCTACTTTTCGATGTAATTACCTTCGTTATTTAAACATTTGTCAAGGCGTGGTACAAGTTTTTCGATGCCTTCTGCAAAGAAATCTCGTCCAATGTCTGATAACCATTGTTCAGCTGCAGCTTTCACTTCGGCATCCGAATGGTACCGTCACTTTGAAAGTTCTTGTTTCATGGGACCAAATACATGGAAGTCAGGAGGTGAAAGGTCTCAGCTATAAGGAGGGTGATTCCACACTTCCCACCTAAACATTTTCAGAAGTTCGCACGTTTGTTTTGCTGCATTCGGTCTTGCACTGTCATGCAGGAGCACAATGCCTTTCAACAGTTTACATGGCCGTTGATTTTTAAGTGATTTCCACAATCATTTTAGTGTTTCACAGTAAGAAGATGCGTTAATTGTGGCACACTTCGGCATGAACTCTGTATGCACCACACCTTCTCTGTCGAAAAACAGCGTTATCATCACCTTTCCTGCAGATGGAACAGTTCGACGCTTTGCTCATGATGGGGAACTGCAATGTTTCCACTCGAGTGAGCTGCGTTTCGTTTCAGATGAGAAGTTGTGAATCTAAGTTTCATCTCCAGTCGCAATTTTTTCCAAAAACTCATTTCCTTCCGTTTGGTAACATTGCAGAAATGCAAATGCACTTTCAAAACGCTTTCCTTTATGTTCCTCCATCGATAGATGTGGCACCCATCGAGCACAAACTTTACGAAATTTAAGGTGATCGGCAATAATTTTATGCACACTTCCATGAGAAATATCCAGTTCATTTAAGATTCCGTCTATCGTTATGCGTCTGCTTGCAAGAATGCATTCATTCATGCGAGCAGCGATTTCCAAATTTGTTGCAGTTGATGGTCTTCCCTCGCACTCAGCGTCGTCAATGTCTGTATGTCCCTTCTCAAACATGTTGCACCATTTTGCAATAGCTTGCCGTGACTTTGCATTTTCACCATACACTTCATGCATCTGCCCATAAATTTCAGTGCAGTTGCGCCTTTTTGCCCACAAAAATCAAATCACCGCACACATTTCCAATTTGAATGCTATTTGCAGCTGTTACCTTTAAGCCGCTACATCACGCAATAAAGGTACATGTCTGAAGTGTTGCCACACAGTGTCATTCAAATAGTCTTAGACAAAACATATTTACGCAGTAGTGCAACAAACTTTCTAACTGACCTACGTATATATGCAAAATCAAGATTCCAAATGCCGAACTAAAAGTTCTGCTTTTTCAATTTCTATACTTGCAGTCCTTTAACTCTAGAAGAAACTTACTTTTTGAGCAAACTAATATCTATTGATCGCATGCCCTTCATGTATATTGCTAACCATTTTTTATTGTTGAAGTGATGATAAAATTTTAAGGATCGTATATGCCTAGAAATTTTGTAATGTATAGCATTAAAACAAAATATACAAAGACTTAAAATTTAGATGCAATACAAATAATATTTGGACTACACTAAGAATTTTGAATTATATACTAAAACAGAAGTCAAAGGAATAAGATACATTGAATCAAAGATTTGGTAAGACTTTTACATATAAAAAATATCAACTTCAATCATTTTTGTATTTGGATGAAGTTCATTAAACAATATGTAAATTATTTTACCTTTTGAAGCCCAAACAAAAATTTTAATTTTATACATTTTTATGACATATTCATGTTAGTACAAGACACCAAATGCCTTTCTAAAAAATTTAAACCGAGTTATATAAATCTGATAGTAAAAAATGTATTAAGAAAATTTATCAATTATATGTATTAATATGTATGTTAAAAAAACCTTTACCTCAGGTTATGATATAAACCATTAAATTACTTTATTGAATATTTTCAATATGCTATGTTTACAAAGGCATAATGACCTTAATATTCAATTTACCTTTTTTTTTGTGAGAAGCATTTTTAAGAAAAATATAGTGTAGTGCCTAGTCCTCCGAAACTGTAACCCTGAAAATAAGTAGCGCCCTCTAGGCGGAAAAGGGGTAAGTTGGAGACTGGCTTTCGGTGGGAGAGACGGAATGCTCGGTGTGGTAATTTTATAAATTTAACAATCTTATCTTATATGTTTTAATTTGTACAAAGTGTATATAGTTTACGTTGATGGTGTGAATAAATTAAAAGATAAATCTGAGTCTATTAATTACGGCACCGGACACGGCTGGATCTTACACTGGCGCAATGCGACACGATTAGAATCGAAACTAACGCTTCAACAGAGAAAAGGTATGTGATTTATGCTTACCTATTATTTTAAAGTGACTCTAAATTTTAGTTACGTAAACTGTATAATGAGATAAATTATAAGTTACTATAATAGTTTGAACTAATTAGTGCTATATTACGAAGTTATAAGAAAGTCGCAAAATGTTCTCGGTTAAAGGTCTCAAGAAACAAGATTTATTTTTATTGGCAAAAGAACTAGGTCAGGATGGTGATGAAAGTCTTAAACTCACAGAACTGAGAGATAAAATTACTAACAGTAATGATTATAAAACTGATCCTGAATTCGTTAAATCTATGCTAATATCCATCATTGATGATAGAAAATCCACTGAAGAATTGGAAGCTGAAAGGTTGAAGCTAGAAAATCTAATTTAAATTAGAGAAAGAACACGAACTAGAAATCTCAAACTTAGAGCTTCATCTAATTTTAATCTTTCGGATAACACATTGTTAGAAAATTTAATTAAAAGCATAAAAACTAACGATATCCGTTCTGACTCGTCCGGAATCATGGACACTTTATTTCTCTTCGTTAGAAAAGAGCATTTAAGATTTAAAATGTGCCAGAAGAACACAAAGCCAAAATTTTGATAAATCTTTTAGGTGAAAATTCAACAAACGCCTTGATTTATGTTAGTGAAGATGATGTCATAAATTACGAAGCAGTTAAGAATAAAATCTTAAAAGAATATTAGCCAACTACTCAAGCATGTATGGATATGTTTCAAAAGGCTCAACGTCAGTCAGTGGAAACACACACACAGTTTGCATCCTGGTTAATGACACAGTGGAAATACTATTGCACCTTAAGGAGTGCAAATGATTTTAAATACAGTTCATGAATTAATTGTAGCCAATTCTTGCAATGCAAACTCTTGGTCACGAGACAGCCATGCATATAAACATGAAACAAGGTGATACTTGGTTTAAAACCCGCGGATTGGAAAGGAATGCGACACGTTCTTCGCTTCGCTTGTAAAAGAAAATCTTTAAATGATATCGTAGCTGTTCTCAGAAAACACCGAATATTGAAACCAAAAGTACTCACTATGTACCCCCTCCTATGCGAAAACCGGATGGTTTGCCCAAAATTACTAAAGTCGAAAAAGGATTGTTATATTTGTGGATCTTTCCAACATATAGCTAAAGACTGTCAGAAGGAATTTAAATGCGAAAAATCAAAATAAAAACTACTTCCGAAAGTAATAAATTGCAGAAAAGTGACGCGGTTGTGGCCCAGATTAATACAGAATACCTCAAGAAGAAACAAGTCGAAATTCAGCCTTTGCAATATGTAAAAATATTAGTTGAAAATAAAGAAATTGATGCTATTATCGATTCAGGATACACAAATTCCGGTA